CTTGCGCCGAGTTCTATTTTTGTGTTGGAATCTAAGGTTGAATAAACCTACGAGCAACAAGTCCCTAATCAGTTAAAACAACTTAGTTACTAACATAGAAGTTGAGCTACTAACCAGTGCACCTTAATGGGGTAGGGGGCCTGGGCCCTAACAATATTTTAACACCAAAGCCCAATTTTTTTTTTACTTGTATTTGTAATTACCTCTTCTTTGGACCCCCAACCATATTAGACAAGAGGCCCCTCTCTAAGTCTCTAACCTAGAAATCTGCTTACCTGCACGACGGGAACGAATTTAACGACGGACAGAGGAGAGCTGGAGAGGAGTAGAGCGAGCGACTGCAACCTGCGAGCGAGAGGCGAGAGTGACGAGACCGAGACGGCGAGACCGACTGCTTGCTGACTGCTGTCGCCTCTAAGCCTCTTGTCTTGGTAATTGGTAAATATTCTAAATATCTAGTTTCCATCTTCTAATTTTTCAATTAGTAGTATTTTAGGTTAATTTTGTGGTAATTGGTAAATGCTTTAGGTTAGGTATTTATTTTAAGTTAATTTTGTGGTAATTGGTAATTGGTAAATGCTTTAGGTTAGGTATTTATTTTAAGTTAATTTTGTGGTAATTGGTAAATGTTTTAGGTTAGGTATTTATTTTAGGTTAATTTTGTGGTAATTGATAAATGCTTTAGGTTAGGTATTTATTTTAGGTTAATTTTGTGGTAATTGATAAATGCTTTAGGTTAGGTATTTATTTTAGGTGAATTTTGTTGGTTAATTTTGTGGTAATTGGTATTTGGTAAATGCTTTAGGTTAATTTTGTGGGTAATTTTGTAGGCAATTAAGCAAATCAAATGGAAAGATTTTTTAAAAGGAAAGCATCAACACCTGAATCGAGCTCTGCTCCTTCGATGTCTTCCGAAGTTGATTTGAACAATCTTCCTTGGGATCCGGCCGATAGAAAAAAGATTTCGGAATATCATCCTAATCAAAGGGATGAAATAAGGAGAAAATATTTGCTTAAAGGACCTTGTCAACCACGAGGTCATGCATTTCCAAAAAAATTTGTCGGGAGTAAAGAAAGACGTTTTTGTCCGACTTGGTTTGATCAATATGCTAATTGGTTGGAGTATAGTGTAAAAACGGATAGAGCCTTTTGTTTGTGTACTATTTGAGAAACAACTTAACATGTACTATTTGATTGTGCGTCAAGATGAAATATTTGCCAATTTGAGTGGTATTGCCGAGCTCGCTAGACTGCTAGTGGAAACAAAAAAGCATCAAACTTATCCTCTAGTCTATCGGTTATTGAAGTTGGCCTTGGTTTTGCCAGTTGCTACTACAACAGTCGAAAAATGTTTTTCTGCTATGAAGATTGTGAAGTCAGATTTGCGCAACAAAATCGGTGATGAATTTTTGAATGCTGCAATGATATGTACTATAGAAAAAGAAGCACTTCTCGCAGTTTCAAATGATGATGTAATTACGTAATTTCAAAAGATGAAGAGTCGTAGGGCACAGTTGTAAGAGGTAACTTTTTATCATTTTTGTATGAAATTGAAGTTAATTATTATTTTATTTTATAACGTGCCCCCTATAATATATTTTTCTGCGTCCGCCACTGCTACTAACTGTATTCATAGCAAGATAAACACCAATCCTAACTAATGATCAGACGCTCAATCATTTAAGCTAGATTATGAAAACCTATGACACATTCCAAATAATTTGATGGTCATTCGAAGTGTTAATTTCTACATTATCAAAACTGAGAACAATTACGGATCCTTAATTTCGATTAAAAATTCAAAGTAAGTAATGGGTCCTGTCAATTTGGACAACCAAACAATAATGAAGGTGTTCAACCAAGATTAACATAAATGAAACATGAAGGAAAACAGATTTAGATTGGAAATCTCAGCACAAATCCAATCTTCAAATGATTACAATATCACTGCTTGAATGCAAATATTAAACCTAAAATCTATGTTACTAAATTAATGGAAATAAAACGTGATTGAAAGCCTCCAAAATCGCCTTCTTTGTTTCTTTCTTTGTTCTATGCAAAATTATGATCGATCTCTCCAAGAAAATGTGGCCTATAAACCTTTAAGATGGTGTTTGGTATGCAGACTGGATGAGACAGAATAGGACGGGACGAGACTAATTATCTGTCCTATGTTTGGTATGACTAGGATATGACAGAACAAGACTGTTAAAATGATCATATTACCCATAAATGTTGTTCAATATTATTTTATATTATATAATGATTGCAAATGACAACAAATCAACCAAAAATATATTTAAATTGTTTAATCTATGATATCAATACTTTTTTTTAACATTCCAATACCACATGTAAATAACATTTGTCATACCATAAATTTTAAATACGCACATAATTTAAAAAGTTTAAACACAACAATTGTAAATAACATTTGTCACGCCATCGTCAAAAGTTTAACATTTCAAGAATGGAAGCTGGAATCGAGAATGGAGGTTGTGGAAGAGAAAAAAGAGGATGCAATATAAATATAATAGAGGACTTAGCTCATAAAAAACATGAATCAATATAAATGAAAGTATTTTGATTATAAATACGAGTTCAAAAATGTATTTATCAAACAATATATATAAACAAAATAAATGATGGAAATACATTAAGGGGTCGTTTACCTTAATGTTTACCCGGTAAGCGCTTATCGTGAAGAGTCAACATTATAATTTATTTTTTATTGGGTAAGATTGCAGTACATCAAAACGTATCTTATGCAACAATTTACCTGGTAAGCGCTTACATGTGTAAGAGTCATCACCCTCACTTACCGGGTAACACTCTCCATTCTTATCATTGCTTTCACCGGATAAGATTCTTGTCCCTTGCCATGTTCATCCGGTAAGGAAAATTGTCCAGTAAGTACTTACCGGGTAAGCGTTTAGTAAACGACCCATTAAATCCATAAGGGTGCGTTTGGTGCGCAGACAGGACTGGATAGGACAGGACGGGACAGGACAGGACAGGACAG